TAGCAAGTGCTGGGGAAGGGAGAAAGGGAGAAAATTGTTCCCACCTGCTCCCTATGGAAGCTGACCTACCCCAAATAAAGCTGGCACAAGCATTTTCCAACAAAGTTAGTTAATGTCCCTATCCTTACAAGAGTTGTGCTATTTAAGCTAGATAAACATTGGCAGGCTTTCTAATTTCTTTTTCTTCTGCTAAATTAGCAAATGATTACGGGTACAAAGAGGTGAGTCTGAGTAGTAAAACTTCATTTATTGCATTTTTTTTAATGAGAATATTCATATAAAAAGTTGATCAGTGTGTGTTTAAGGCCAGAATTAAGTGGTACTGTGACAGAGTTCACAGCTAAGTGACACCTCTGATCAAGTGCACCTAAATCTCAGTTCCTAAGACACGATCTTATCTTTGTGCCCAGTGTGTTACCTTCATATTTCTCTGTTTTACAGATATACCTTATGACTTTTCTGTGTCCATATAGGTTTAGTTTTTAATTGAATATGTAGTTTCACCTTCCTAACCAGGTCAGATAATGGCTCCATAACCTACATTTCTTAAATTGTTCTATGGCAACTCCTACAATATTATTACATCCTGGGATTCCCTTGTTTATTATGTATCTGCTACATTTTCATCACAAAATGCCGTTCCTCATGACAGTCCAAAAGTTCAGCAAGCATATTTTAAATAGGCTGCAAATTACAAAAACATTCAGTTTCTCTAATGAAGCTTGCAATTTTCATTCCTTTTCTCTGCTTTTTGAACAAAATAGCCTGAAATATGTGCGGGAATTCCTGATTTGACTGGTTTTATCTGACTGTGCAGTAGGACAAAGTTTTGCTTATCATAAGGAAAAATAAAAACCATTCTGATATAATGGTTTAAAACTGCCTACCTCTCCCTTTAGGAAAAACTCATGAGAAAAAGTTGTCAATACCTTCTGTAGTGAATGGAGATTTGCCTGGGGTGTTTGTTCATCTGCATTCACAAGGCATATTTAAGTGATGTTATTTTTCTTTCAGCAGCAGCGCTATCATTCCTGCATTCCTATGTTCTACATAAATTTTGATGAGTTTTGGCCATGCTTGGGAGGATTTGTATTTTTACTCAAATCAACCATCACAAATTAGAAAGTATTGTGAGAAGATTTCAGATGTTGATGAGCTGACGGGACTAAGCAGATAAAGGTTCTTCTGACTTCAACCCTCCGGAAAAGGGTTGTATTTGGATTATGAGGAACTACCTCAAGTATCATGTAAGTGCCCTGTTCCCCTTCCAGAGATAGCAGTAATCAAGCACTACGTCCTTAAGCCCACTTTGCAGTTGATTCTTTCTGTAAATTCTCCTCTGGCTCTGAGTCAGAGCCAGCTACTGGTTTCTAATTAGAAAATAACAAAATGAATTATCTTTTCTATTTTTCTTCAAAGGAGGAAATACTTCTTCAAAGTATTTTCTTGTGACATCGCCCTAGAATAGTGTGTATTGAGCTGCAACAGGACACTTCTTTATATTAAATTAAGTAATAGTTTGGCTGAGCAAATCAATCAATAAAGTGCCACTAAAACAGTTTACTAAGGCCTGATCCTATATTTTTTGATTGATTTCAGTGAAAGGCATGAAACTTAAGGACATGCTTCTATGTGGAAAATGTATTGAATTGTTGGATAACTCCATGTCTGGACGTATAGGATAGAAAAGATTTTCAATTGTTTAGTTGGATCCAAGCAGATAAATATGACTGTTAATACCAGCTTTCCTGGTGGACAAAATAAAAACTATTTACCCAATCACAACAAAATTCTGCCATGTATTTAGGTAATAGGTATGTTCAAGTTATTGGTAGCTTGTAAGATAAAAATAGTTCACTTTTCCACAGAGCCATTCATATGAAGAGATTGAAGCATTTTTAAAACATTCTGCCCTCATGTTTAAAAGCATGTCTCACTCACCCCCATTTTATAGATGAAGCAACTGAAGCATATTGAATTTTAGTAACTGTCTGATGTCAGAAACCTGTAAAAGGGCAGATCCAAAAATAACTGCTAGGTCTGGATAGGAGTAACCACTATCTAATCATTGGATAATGTTGTCTTGGGGCTAAAAGCCTTGAGGAAAAGGCTGAAATGTCTTTCTTCCCCTACTCCATCTTCCCCTACCCATGTCTGAGTATCAGAGTCACTGAGCTGGAAAAAAGTGAATGTTACTATACAGCATGAATGAACTAAGTTGTCCCTTGTGTAGTGAACACTTCCCAGCTGGATAGGATGTTGCAAGCTTTTATGAGTTTCCAGCATCATTTTGCCCATGCAAGACCTCCTTGAGGAGGCCTTGATTGAATGCTACTTTTATTTTACTTTTTCTGTCTAGAGGAATACAAAGAATTCTTGTTGATTTCTGCAGTCTTTGCCAGAGACTACAGCAGATTGCATAAGAGGAGGTCTCTCATGCAATAAGGTCTCTTTCAGAGATTGGAGAGAGCTGTCTCTAAGCAAAAAGGGTCTTTGACAGTTTATATGTCTAATATGTCTTGATTAGCTGAACAGAAACCTTTGCTGAAACCGTTAGCTAGTGAAAATTGCAACACAAATGCTCAAAGGGCAGTGAAGATAAAATCAGTGCCAGCAGGATGAGACTCCTGCTGCCTCCGCCTGCTGTCTCTGATCACTCCTCACTTAGCTACTTAAAGAAAAACCAAATCCCTTTTTGGTCCTGACATTTCAAAATAACTCAACTTTGCACCAAGTAATCAAGAGCTTGCCTCCTGCTCAGAGGCTCCAGAGGAGGATGCTGTGAACCTTACTCTGCTTTGAGACAGCTCCCAGGCTACACATACACTTTTTTCTCCAGCTGCATTTTGCATTGACATGAAAAAGAGATGGTCAGATTACCTTCTGGTGCCTGTCTGGGCCAATAACCACTGGTAGTGGTTGGTTGTTTCTCCGGCAATATTCAGAGGTGATGTGCAAAGGCAAAGAAGCTAACTGTTTGACAACGGATAGCTTTATTTACAGACTGCTGCCAGGCTAAAATCAGTTGAACTGCATGAAATAATGTGCACTTGTTTGGAAAAAGAGCTGAAAAGCTGTGACACTGATTGGCAGTGAAAAGCCTATAAAACAACACACATCAATGGAGTAATTGGCTGCTTCCCTCACATAAATGATTTTCTTCTTTCCACTGTCACTATGCAGTTGAGCAAGCCACAATTCGAATTGGTGGAACAAGACAAATTTAAATAATTCTGTGAAAACTACATAAGGGATGAGGCAGAGCTGGTATGAGTTGGCCTTTAAAAATAATAATACCACTAATAATGATAGCTCAGTGGCTTGCCCACAAAATCACTGACTCTCTTAGCTGTACTGAGAGAACAATTTCCTTTGCTGCAATTCAAACGAGCTGGGGAACAGGACCAGGGCTTCATATTATGCTGACTTTGTAGAGATCAATGGCCAACCTGACATACTGATTTGCCCGTACCCATTTGCTTTCCCTCGTTCTGGAGCTGTTCTGAAACTCATTCAGTGTTACTACTTTGATTGTTGTTCGGTTGTTTCCAGGGATCTGGTATTTGAGTTTTAGGAAGGTGAAAACCCTTTCATCTGACCCCTGCTGGCTTTCCTATTTTTAATGACTTCTCCAGCATGTAAGCATTGGCTTTTCTCCCCTTATAAAGAGGACCAGCTTTTCTTAAAAACCCAACAAGAGTCTGTACAATTTATAGCTAAACCAAGTGTATAAGCAGAGTCTAGCTGTTCCAAACCTAGCTGTTTTTCCAAGTGCTACTGGCGCTCCCTGCATTATCTTTCAGCTTGGCAGATTTAACCTGTGCTGCAGGACAACCTTGGGCACAGTGAGAACCTCGAAAAAACATAATGTTCCTATCAAAACAATTTACTCTGTGACAAGCAGAGATAAGTCTGAGCCACAACATTAGGTCTGGAGTCAAGCTCTTAACAAAGTTTGAACTGCTCACATTTAGAGTTCCTTCATAAACATCTTCATAGCAGTAAAAGTTTGTGGTTTCTCTTCCACTAGTTCAGAATCTTCTGAGTTCAGAATCTCAAGAGTTCTGCTGTGAAATATGTTCACTTTATGGGTTTCCCTCTATCTTCTGTAAACTGACGTTTTTTCATTGTTATTCAGCTTTGCTTTATTCTGCAATAGAAACCATATGCTATTCTATGATCTCACATGAGATTCTGTGAACTTCTGTCACGACAAAATTTAATGAGACTTGCATACCAGCTACATAGTTTTACTTTAGGACCAAACAAGAGGAGACAGGTCTCTGAAATGTGTGGAAACAAAGCCTTACTTAAAAGAAAATATCTTTGAACATTTTTCTAGCTTCTTTTTATAACTAATAATAATATATACAAACCAATTAGATGGAAGTGTTCTCCCTTTGGAAACTAATTTCCAGGCAGGGGCATGAAGGTGTGGCAGGAAAGAAAGCAAAAAGCAGTCTGAGCAAGCTTTCTGCAAGGAGTGAGCGCAGCCCAGCCTTTGCGTACTGGCCCCGGGCTTCCTCTGCTGTTCTTTTCCGCTGCTGATTTCTGCTCGTCACAGGGACACGGGGCTCTTAGCTGGCCTAGAGGCAGGGAGGGAAAAACAGTGGAGAGGACACCCTCATGAAGTAAGTCACTGAAGATGAGTATTAGTGTCTGTTACTTTAGTGGGGCAGGAAGGCAATGCTTCTCCCCTGTGTCCAAAGGACTCAGCAGGATGTAATTGAACCATTTGCTCAGTGCAAACACAGGAGTTCAATGGCCTCTCTCGAGGGATCACACTAAACCGATACTGTGAAAGATAATTAAATCATGTGGCAGTTTATCACAGTAGATGCCCTAATAATCAGTAATTTTAAAGGTCTTTAAATCATGTGTTTGTAGCCTGATTGTATTTATGAACTATAAGAAGCTCCTGCAGGTTTTGCTTGGCTATTAGATTCTGTGAAGGAACAGGCTATTTCTGTCCAGTTGAGTAATGCCATCTTGTTAGAAATGAGCACAAGCGGCCGACTCTCTTGCTTTCTAGTCCCTATTTGGAACTTCACAGACAGTTAAAGCAATAAAATATTTAAGTGAATACCTTGATATCTTACTACCATTCACAGCTTCTACTTTCCTTAGTCACTTACTGCCTATGTATTTTCCTCTCTTTAGGCAAATCATTAAACATTTTCTGCCTTCTATTATCAGTTCACTCCTGCATTATAACAGTCTCTGCCAGCAGGAAAACAGAACTGCAAAATCTTGTTTCTCAAGAGATGGAAAGCACTTCCAAGTAGGGTTACTGGTTGTAGGGAGCAAGGCCAGAGCTCCTGGGAGATTCAGGGCACACACTTGCCACACTTTTGAAACACACCTTTTCTAGCTAAATCCCAGAATACAGGCATCACCAGGCAGAGAAAACCTGTGAGGCACAACTGATTCTCTTGTAATATTATTTGCATTCCCTCTGTCATTGGATTGATTCAAAACCATCAGTCACAAGCCTGGACTCAAAAATATTGGTAATGAATTAACCAGTGTAGTCAGTAAGGCACCTCCAATATATCCTAGATGTTTTGCTTTGCAAAAGATTCATCTGATCCACTCGTAAGCTTTCTCCACGCACAGATTTGTTTCTCCTGTTTCTCTAGATCATCCTCTCAGCACCTTTTTCTTTTTTTAATTCCTGCCCTAGTCTTGCACAGATGCAAATATCTCCCTTAGGCTTCTGGACCTACCTAGACCCTGGAAGTCTAGACCACTGCACTCTGTGTGAGCCTGGGACTGTCTGTATTTGTCTTGAATGTTGATCTGGGACCATAGAAGTCTTTTATCAAACTATTTTTTCTAATTAATCTATATACATGCATAGATATACATAAACATACACAGAAAGAGGCAAAAGCACCGATGTACATGTACTGTACAGTTGCCTTCATACAATGCATATTTTGCATGTGCAGCTTAGAGGCTCACATCCTGCTCACAGTAGGCTCACTGAACTCACATATTGCAATGTTGATTAACTACAGAAACCTTGGTCTTTTTTTGTTCAGTCAATTATCGTCTAGTTTGTGATTTCAGAAACAATAAATCTTAAAATCTAACATTTTTTCTGTAAGAAAGAGGAATGTTAGAAAAGAAATGCGTGAATTGAACTGTATATTACTCCTTTGCTATCTGTAAGTTAGTCTATTGAAATCAATGAAGCTGAACTCTGTTCAATTCTTTCAAGATGCAAGGAATTAAATGTGTGATT